ACGGTCGTTTATAGCTGCACAAAGTAATCTTTAGGCACTACTCTAAGTTGACAGGTGATCTTCATTCATGCCTGAGTATTTTAGCCAGGCCTGAAGCCTTGTAAAAAGAGCCCAGATTGTGCGATGTTATGTAACTTTCTTTCGTTCACGAACCTGTGTGGCTCATCACTGTGGTGGTGGAGCGCTTTTGTCCCCGTGGTAATCTGCTCGCTCTCAATGCCCCAAACCCTGGTATACGGTTTCAAAACAAGGCTGGATTATCACCCCTTTTGACAGTGAAAAATGTTGGCGATTCCCAGCAGCCTGGTCTTTTGTTTGGAGTATGGTCTTTTGTTACAGGACCTTGTTTCCTTTGTCCGAGACCCTGGCCACGCATATAAACCATACGTCTCCGATTCCGGAGTCCCCGGCAGAAAGTGGTTAGAACCAATATTAAGACAACGGGACAATTGTGTACACAGAGTAAAAATTACATGTATACTTTCCATTCTTTATCGTAGCTCTAATGCACAGACTGCAGAAGAAATAAACAAAGTTAATCTTTGCATACAATGTGCATGGGGGAAAGAGAAGACTTTGAGAGGGTAATCCACCCCGTGCCACTAATGCATCCAGGCTTTTATTTCCCAAAGGCAGTGTTCCAGTGTCAATTTCCTTTTTTTCTCCGCATTTGAAAAGGGTCTCGTTATTAAAATTATTTGTTACTTTTGTCATCATTAGCCAAGCAATCTCCATTCTTTTCATAGTGAAACGGACTACACATTGTGATGTTAATGTAATGCGGTAGACGAGGGTTACAAATTTTGAGAATTTCAAACACTGCACAAGGATGTCTGGAACTTGAGTATAAAAAGAGATAAACAACAGCAATCATAATAAAATGTGTTCCTTTGAATAGTGTATATGTCTTCATTTCAAAAAGAAAAAGTATAAAACAAGCTGTAACTCATTGTTAAATTACATTGACAAAACTACGAACATCTATATCAACTGTACTTAAAAGAGTAGAAATTGTGCATAAAGTACCCTTGAATAGAACCTTCAAAGCTCCCTTTCCTGAGCATAGGAAACTTGATGTTCACAGCACATGGGTAGAAATTTGGCTGATCCTGAGTTAAAATGTAGTTGTCTACTTAAAATGGAAATGCTCACATGCAGTTTAAACCTGCCCCTAAATGCTGACATTAATCAAAGTTGTTAATACTTTGTCTGCAGAGGCGAGCACCCACTTGTGTGGACGGATCTCAACTTGGCAATTAATCAAGGCTGGGCAAACCAGTACAATGCACACACAATGTACAATGTATCAATCTGCAAGGGTGCATTGACTGTAAATGTATGTGTACACTTGCTTTGCAGGGGGTACAGCTGACCTTAAAGAAATGCTCCATATCCACTCGCGTTTCCATAGAAATATATCGTCCTTTAATTTGTCCTCCGGGCACTTAGGAGAAAGCAATAATTTTGCCATTAAATTGGTTAAAGAGCGTGCAACTGCACGCAGGGCTCGGGGAGAGAAAAAGACACACAAACACATACCGTACACATCAAACAAATAAAAAAAAAGTGGAGACGCGAAATGTCAGCAGGGTATCCCACTAGTATAAAAAAAAAAACCTTGGGAAATGTCTCTAATTTTGATGGAGTGGCCACCATTTGGAATAGGACTACTTGATTGACCTGTCGGTGGTGAAAAAACAAGAGACAATGATTTGTGATAAGCTTGTGGTTCAATTTGATCGAATTAAGAGGCCTTCTATTTAAGGCTCTGCCTGACTTGACACATGTAAAATTTCTTTCCTCAGCATCTATATTATACATGTACGCCATTTATTATTTCCCTAACTATGGATATGCCAATGATTTTAAGAGGGTGCAGAGTGGAAAAATATCGATTCCATGTATATATGGCCAAATTGATTTTTCTTCTTTTCCGGAACTTGCTATTACTGTGACTACAAGTGACAGGGATGTAAAAGTGTGAAAAATCTACAATTACGGTGTAAACAATGCCACTACACAGCTAGAAAAAACAACACTTGTCTGTGTTTTGTTGAAGATAAAGTGGCCAAAATACACATGGGCAGCTTCCAAGGCATACATGCACATTTACAAACGTGATACATGTACACGTATGTACATGTGACTATCTGCTTGGCTATTTCAGAACTCACAGAAAGAGGGCATTCTGTTGACAACCCTAACATCTTTGACAATTAAAAACTTATCAATGCCCATGGGTACATTTGGCACCTGTGAATGGCAAACCGCCTTCATTTACACATTCATGTACGTTCGTTGTACATGTACCATAGAGTCCTCGGTGAATCAGAGTGCAGTGACCTGTGACCACATAGAATTTCTGCACCAAGACTGAAGTGGAAAGTGGCCCAAGCCGAATCATTCCACTGCGACAAAGTGCAGAATTATGTGCAATCTGCTCCCTATATCCTCCAAACATCTGGTCCAGTTCCAGTTCAGAACTCTTATGGCCTGAACCAAATCTCATGGATCCGGTGTGCAAGTTTCAGTTTCATCGAGACAGATGCTTTTGTCATGATAGTTCCCAAAAGATCCATCTGTACAGCAGTAAGATACACTTTCACTTTTTAACTTGGCTAGAGTAAAACCAAATCCAAATTCACCAAGACGACAATGCACACTGTCGGTGCCATATGCCCTCACTAATGCAAGGGGTCATTGACTTAAATGTATTGCAATACAGAGCAGCGTGTACACTTTTCATTATGCATTGGCCCTGTACCAGGTACATGTACATTTATACCATGCTCAGCAAACTCCAACTGCTGTATGCGAACTTGTGTGGCTTTGCTGAGTGAAAATATTATGCAACAGCCAGATTCAAGGCAGCCCACGTTTTGTCCTCATTTCTTTATTTTGAACGGTGGCCGCATGGCCAAATTTTTTCCCAAACAATGAGTTCAAGGCAAACAAGTTGCTGTGAGTGCAGCTACATGTATGGACCTACAGCAGGGCTGTATGTCTTTCAAATCTTTAAATTCTGTGGCATGTACACGTATGCCATGTGAATTTGCATGAACGGTATTAAACACTGCAGTTATATGTATTAAAGATTTCTAAACCCTTGTCACCCACCTCAAAGGTGAAGGATTCGTCAAAGCGAGGGTCCACTGTTTTCCTTCGGATTTTTGTCCTTTTGGTTTCATTTCTGTTGAAGAAACACAAACACAAAAACAGTGATTAAACATTCCCCTGGGTTAAAAACTCCCTAGTTTCCATTGCTGAGATTATTATTGAAGTTTTGTTGTTTTGGCCCTGATTACACAACCTGAAATAATATCCCATGAAAAAAGATAGTTGTGATTTAAAACCATTTCTTTTCCTTGTGCCGTGTTTGATGGCCAGTTCACTTATGTGCAAGGTTGAAGGGACCGTGAGCTCAAAAAAATTGCTGCAGTGCATTAAATATGCATCTGGACGAATCAAATTTTTGTTTCAACATGTGGTACCGTACATGTGCAACCAGACTGCCAACCATCACAAAACAGATTGGAAAGTCTCTCTTTATGGGAGTATTAAACAAATTTTACTACAAAATAAAGTAATCCATCATATGGCAAAGCACCTACATGCATGTAGCCAGCAGACTCATGAAAACCGTAAACAAAAAACTCATTCATAAATGTGGCCGACTGCCTGTATATAAACTGGCCTAGGCTGTTTGGACAATCTCTCTTCCTGCCAACAAAGAAAGTTCTAGTATCGCTATACTGGCGGGGGGGGGTTGAATGTTTCGCAAAATGTTGATACAAGAACTGCACCCCAACCTGCATGTAAACATGCATTTTTTTTACAAATGCATTTATAATCTGGATGCGAGTTTGACAAATTCTGTTTGCAATGTCACATCTATCAGAACTGCCATCCAAAACCAAACTCACATCAATGTGCACCCACAGTAAACACCAGCACACTTTCCTGGGGAGCCGGCAATTTTCTTTTTCTTTATCAAAAATGGGTTACAGTTGAAAGAGGTCTCCCCGCAGGGCTGAGAGAAAGAGATAGTGCACACGGCACCGGGTCCCAGAGGGTGATCAAGACAAGCAGTAGAAAAATCAGATTTTCCAATTCAAACCAGGAAATAATATCATTTCCCATCCAGCGCGATACGCGCAGTTGGGCACAAAGACTGCATGTCTATGTCTAATGCTCAACAACAATAATGACTTGGGGGAGGGTGGGCATTGCCGTATCAGTGTTTTAATGAAATAGAAGACCCCATTTTGAACTTGGTATGGTATTATTACTGTCAGAAATTGACAGGGAAAGCATATATATCGAGAGTAATCTTCTCAGCAACATGTATTTTTTTTTGAGGAGGAGGAATTAGGGATGGGAAAATGATGCCGGAAACTCCTCATATTACTGATCATCCGGCCGGGAGAAGGGGAAATTTGATAGCAAGGCGGTGGCTTTTTCTGGTTCCCTGGCCCTGCGGCTCAGGAAAAATTTGGAACGCAGGGACAGCAACTTGTCAGGGCAGTGGTAATACATGTAACGGCTGTAACAGGAGACCAATGGGAGTGTATAATGATTCAACAATGGGGTGATACTTGCAATGTGAGAGGGGCACAATAACACATCGCCGTACGAAAAGCTGTATCACGATACTTGCCCATGAATACACTTAATGAGTTTTCATTCATCACCAGGAGTGTAGACTCCTTGGGGATTATGCATCGTGTGAACTTGTGAATGTTGAAATGGACTCTTTTCACACAATATGCATGTGCATTTCTACGTCCAAGATGACATTCAGAAATGGAAGAGCAGCCGTCCAGAGCAGTTGTACAGAAAACATGAAAATACATGTACATGAACAGTGCAGGTGTGTGCCCTAAATACATGCATGTTGACAAACACTTAATGCTCAAGAGTGCAATGATGAGAACCATTTCACGAGGTGAAAGATTGAATGTTCTGTTCCATGAGGCAAAGCCTGGGCAGAGTGTGGAGCATTCAATCTGTCACTGACTGAAATTATTCTTTCCACTGCATGAATGACAAACATTAATTACTTCTTTTATGTGAAACCTGAATAAATCTAATTCCTTGCAAGTCGCCTGCTGTACTCCCTCAGTCTGCCATAAAGCGCAAAGTGCAGTTTTTGTGCTCCGAGCCGAGACAGAAATTTTCTGTTTGTGTGGACAGCAGCGACTGTGCCTTCCCGGGACACACACACAAAGTTTGCATTGGGTGTATGCGCAACTTTATGAAGGAATGCAAACAACGTACAGTATCTATAACATATATGTATGCAGTCAAGTAGCTAATAACATGAATAATCCTACTATACACGCACACCTTCCTATACAGCAGCTTCATTTCATTATTCTTTTAATTGTAGAGAATGTGTGCGTGAAATCCTCAAAACTACTGTCATCC